TTATGTGAAAAGTTTTGTTTCTTCCATATTGATATAATATTAAACTTGTATATAAATTATTAATTTAATTTGTTTAATATATTATTTTGTTAATGAATTGTTAATATAATATTGCGAATATATTGTTGCCTAATATAATATGGTTATTATTAATAAAACATCTCATATATTTTAATTTAAGTGGTACATGTAAAAAAAACATTAAAGAAGAGCCGCACACCCTTCCAAATAGGGCACGCGTCGTCACTGATGTATATCGATATGACCAAAAAAAACGAATATATAATATATGCATATATATATATATATATATATTCTTTTTTTTAAACAAATATATAATCGGTATAAGTATTAGTAAAACCTATAAAAGCCCTGTATTTTATGGAATGATTATTTTTCTTTAGATTTTTTTCTTTTAAAATATTTATATACTTTATTTTTTTTTTTTTGGTGTGAGACTCGAACCCACTAAAACCACCTCTTAGGAATGAATGAAGAAAATTTCCACAGCAATGTGGTAACTACATTCCAGTAATCAGGGGAGAGAGATGAGTGTGTAGATGTGTATATAGACTTAATACCTAGTGAATTAGGTTCATCTAAATCAGAAAGCAAGGGCATGAGTTAAGCAGAATGGGTGATATTGAAGGGGGTAGGGTTTATTACATATTGCGAGGTTTTCTTTTGATGTTTATGTTGAATCAATGGCTTTGAGTCTATAGATAATCTTGTATGAATAAAGTTTAGCCAAACTATTCATTGCACAACAGTCTTATAGTGGAATTCGCTGATTTATTACAGTCTCGGTTCAATAAGAAAACCTTTCTGACTTTAAAGAAGGTCTTTCTCGATAGGACAGTACTGATGAGACTACCACGAACGGTGCAGCTTAAGCCGAAATACAACAATATGGAGCTCAATCAATGGCTTTGAGTCTATAGATAATCTTGCATGAATGGAGTTCAGCCAAACCATTCATTGCACTAGTCTTATTGTGAAATTAATTGGTTAATTACCATCTCTTTTCAATAAGAAAACCTTTCTGACTTCAAAGATGGTCTTTCTCGATAGGACAGTACTGATGAGACTGACATGAACGGTACAGCTTAAGACGAATTTCAAAAATATGGAGCTGTTTCCGCTACCTAGAAGAAGGTCAGATTATTAATCAAAATTTTCATGAGGGATCAGTTATACCATATGTTACTGTCTAATAATAAGAACTCTGCAACGCAAATATTCAATTACAACTAATATAGAAATATTTATAACTTAATTAATTTTAACAAAAATTATAAAATTTTTTCTAATGTATTTCACAACACTAATTATAAACAAAACGATAAAACGTTGTCTTGTCTTATAATATCGTATATACGGCTGCTGTCACCGAGAAAACAACAAAAAAATCCATTGTATACAAAGATTTTAGCGCGTTTTGTGATTCAGCTTGTAGATTAAGTTTTTGTTTTTTTGTAATATTTAGAAATTAAATAAAGCATAGTTATATTTATAATAATTAATAATTAACGTACTTGTTTGTAATTGTAAATGTCCAATACTGACACCAAAAATATATCACAAAATTGGAAACGTCCAAATGAGGTTTACCGCAAAAATTTACTATTTTTTATATTTAATTTAATTTTATAATTAATTTTTAGTTAATTAAATTACAACGACTGAAGCAAAAAAAGAAACAATTAGCCGCACGATTTAAGCAAACCAATAACAACGAAAATGTAGTTCTTGAGGATAAAGCGAGCCTCTTGGAGGCAAAAATAGCACAGAAGCGCAAAAATCCGTTTGCAAAGTAATCACACCCGCAACACAATTTCCTCTTTAGTTACATAAAAAAAATAACTTAATTTACTCTACAGATCAGCAGAGAATGAAAGCAAAAAGGCGCGAAACGATCAGGTGTTGCTTGAGCAGGATGACACTTTGCTTGCATTTATAAACACAAACGCGACAACTACTGAGGCTTTTGTACGCGAAACTCCTGTCAAAGTGGCACCAGCAAAATTAGTTTTAAAGTCATTCGATTCAAATGCGTTTTCGCAATTCTTACATCAAGCTGATGAAGATGATGCAATTGAAGAACAAATATTTAGTAAGCATTTACCCATGGACTGGAGTTTGAAGACGCGTGTGCGTATCTTTTGTGAAAGTGATTTACCTACAACTACGCTAAAGACTTCACAAATGGCCAGTGGACTTACTAGTTTTGTGCGTTGCATTTACTCGCAAAATGAATACGGCATGTTGGATATATCACCTACAACACGTTTCAATCAAGCTGCTTACTATTGGCAACATCCGCACTTACCTTGGATGACACTATTCCCGCGTAATTCAAAAGATAACATTGGTATAACAATAGGTGAACGTGAACGTAAAGCACTGGCTGAAGATTGGGATTTTAGCTTCCACGGTTTATTTCATTTGCTGAGAGGATTACAATGTCCATATTTCTATGTTTGCGCAAATACTTTCACTGTGCTATTTAGAGCTGCGGGCACTGCTGGACGTACGGAAATGCATGCTCTAATGACACCGTCAACGCGTGGTATACGCAGTAATTTAAGACAAGAAGGTATAGAATTTACAATGCCGCTAAAAAATGATGGAGGTTTAAATCGATCAGCTGATGGCAACTATTCGGAAGAAAGCGGGAGTATTGTTACTGTGGAAAATCCTGACCAAGAAGGTGAAGTTCATAAGATTTCTTTTACATATATTTTTATGAATAAATATTGATATTACAATTTAGAACACTTTGTAATTGAATGATACGTTAATGCGGCAGCATAGCCTAGAAAAGTTTAAACGACTTCTATTTATTAAGTCAATATTCATTGACGGATGATATGCGATATTATATTTTTATGCTGCAATTTAAAATATACTTTTTGCGCATTGTTAATTAAAAATATATAAACAATGCTGGGAAAGAAAGGAACTGGTAGTGTTATTAACCAGGTCGCGTTAAATATTTTATAATCTTCTGTCAAATTGTATAAGCAATGTCCAAAGTAAAAGGAACACTGTACCTAAAAATTATCACAGAATAATGTCATGAACCAAGTTGGTTCGTGGCTTCAAACCCTTATTTAGAAGATTCTAAAAAACACCGACTGGAGTCAATTTTTTATTTTTTGACTATAGTGAATGATTTCAGCTCGTTTTGCATAGTGAAAGAATGGACACTTGCGTTGAATTATCAACAATAAGTCTCTCTATTATTTATATGTGCTCACTGCTGTTTGCTTAACTAATGAGTGATATTTCAGTTGGTTTGCATAATCGACATTTAGTCTCTCTATTATTTATTTGTGTCAACAACAACATGTAATAATGGGATAATGTTTAATATAAACCTCCCACCGAATTCCTCCACATCTTCCTTCCTCCCCCTTCATCACCGCTAACCTCTACCCACCCACTTCCCTACCCATGTAAACGTCTTGTGTTTCATTTCATGTTATCACTTCATGTTAACAACATGTAGTTGTCTCAGTATAAATCCTTACTTCTTTGCCACCAAATATAAATAGTTCCTATATAAACAATAATAAAATCATTACAATAAATTCATTTACTATAGTTAATATTTGAAACTTCATGTATTTTTATTTACAGGATTTTGATTATGGTTATTAATTTTATATAGTTTCTTACTTTTATTGTTTAAATGTATCGTACTTAAAGTATGGAGTTAAGATCTGATTGAGATTACAATATAGTACACGTTTAGTAGCCTTCTAAACCCATTTTTATTTTAAAAATAATTTGAATACTTTCCTAAATACATTAGTTCTAGATGTGTTTGAAAACATCTTATTCAAATGATAAAATAATCGGATATAAAATCTTTAATAGAAATAATAAATTATTAATCTAATTCTTTTATATTCTTAATATAATAATTTCTAAAAATCATTAATTTTATATACATTTTCAGGAGTCAATACAGGTGGTAACGATGAACAAGAAGAAGATGAATGGCTTGAAAGTTTGGGTGTGGATGAAAAAGAAATACGAAGAATACAAACCGCACACACACGTAAAATTAAAGCAAAGGAAATGGCAGAGGATTTCAGTGATAATTCTTTACTATTAATCGAAGGTGTTGAATGCCAAGGATTCTTTAGTTTCCTACTTAACGCTAAGAGTACTATTAGCAGTATTGGACGTTTAGCTGGCGTGCCACCAACGTTACTTGCACCAGTGGCATTTCCAAAAGCTACTATGCAGCATCTAACATTGCGTTCAAATAAAGTACGAATGGATGGAGTAGACTATAATAGTATCGAAGCTAAAGGAATTGTTTTGCCAACATTTTTGCCATATATTTTTCAATTATTATCAGAAACTAAAAATACCTTCAGTGCTGCACTAGCCAGCAGTAATAATACTTTAGCATTTAGTAAGGCGACACAAGCACTAACAGAGGATCCAAACTGTAGCAACACGAACACTACAGAAGGCACAGATGCACATCAAGTATTTCAACAGGGTAGTTTATGTGATTGCGGTTTAAATGAAGCGGTTATTGAATGCATGTGTCGAACTGGACAATATTCAGTTGCTTTGCTAGAGCGTGTATGTTATGATAAAGAATGCGGTTATGCTTGGAGCTAATATAAAAATTTGTACCGTTTAAGTTAATGTAACAAAAATTTTATTTATTATCCTGTACAAATATAAATCTGATGTATTTATTTATATATGAACTGAAGTTTTAATTGCAGAAGTATTTTTAATAGTTAACGTTTGCAAGTGAGAGAAAATTGCAATTGCAATTTATATTCTACTGCCTCTACAAATTTTAAAACTCCAAAGAAAAATTGTTTTTCTAAGAAAAACTAAATATCCGTTCATAATGGTCTCTTTCTAGTTATAAATAATAATTAGCAATCACTTTGGGTCATAATTTGTGTCTAAGCGGGCTACCTGTCACTGCTTGTCAAGTACAAATAAAAAATTTCAAGTTATATCTAAAATTACTTAATGATTACATTTTATTATTGCTACATGTTTTTAATGTGTTATTAATTTCGTATATTAAAGGCAATTGTAGCAAAAATCTTACAACTAAGACGTTAAATATTTAATGATCAACAATAGTCAATTCATCTATGCTCCAATCTTCGTACGAATGATCAGGCAAATAACGTCTTATGATGATAGGAATTTTCTTCTGCTTAAGCTCTTTCATAGCAATTTGCAATGGATCCGTTTCACCTTCCAATTCTACCATAATCGGTGCACACATCGCAATTTGCAAGGCACGTGTCCCAAGTACACGCGCACGTTCGTACTTAGTCATGTACTTTGTGGTAATTCTTTTAGATTTTGGTACACCACCGCCAGCACTGCCTGGTGCAATAATCTCAATGTTATCTTCTTCTTCATCTTGGTTAATGTCATCGATGTTGTCCTCTTCATCGACATCATCAAATTCATCACCGCCAACTCTAAAAAATGTATATCACATAAATTTACGCCATTTTCAACTGATAACAACTTTTATATTATGCAAATATTAAATAAACTTACTCATCATTATCAAAATCGTCATCCATTGTTATTAATTGGTAACAAATTAAACACCGAGAAAATTTATGAAATTGTTTGCCTCAAAATGGTTTACGGAAAGAATGACAGATTCGCTAGTGTTCCCAAGCTGGTGTATTATTTGACAGTTGCTATTTTGGTGAAATACTACTAAATTGTGGAATTAAATAAGTGTAGGAAAATGTTGTGCAGAATGATATAAAAAACTAGCTACGTATGGATTTGCCTGTATGGATTTTATTTAAAAAATGACACAATATGCCATAAAAATTTATATTGAATTAATGTAAACGTAATGTTAAGAAATAAAATGTGTTATTATAGCCCGTTAAAGTCAGCAGTGATTTAATGCAATAAATAAAAGTAATATAATTGTTCAAAAAACCTGTTTAAGCTGGCTATTTTGCTTCAATATAATAACAAATCTATTTTTAATGACTCAAACATATTATAACTTTTTTAAAACAAATTTTATTTTCATTATTATTTCTTAAAAGAGTTTTAACTTAAAAGAATACAACCTTGTGTTTAAATGGTATTTAATCCGGTATTGCAATATATCTACAGAAACAATTGCATGACATTTATTGAACATGCTGTTGGCTATATCATTTAATTATGTTAATTTTAATATAAATATTTCTAAAGATATTTTTTTTTATAATGCTTTGATAAAAAATCAATTGTTTCAGAAATAAACAAATTATTTTATTACACATTAATATGGACTATATTAAAATATAACTTCTATTAGCAATAAACATTATTTATTATAATAATTTTTAATCGTGATACAAGTATTATACTTTGCTTCGACAGTGAAATTCCCTTAACTTTGTTAAAACGAAATTAAGGTAATTTGAAAAGTGTTCATACTGCTCCAAATTAAAAAAATCATATGGTTCTTGTTCTATAATAATGATCTTATAGTTATAATAATCTTGTTCTTGATTATTATAACTATAAAAGATGGCAGTAGTTTTGTAGTTTTATTAGTTTCAGTGGATTTTAGATATGTATATTATTATGTTTCACTCTATTTTAAATTAATAACAATTACAGTTTTATCTCCATATTCAAATTTAAAAATTTGCATTACTTTCAAAATATTTTCCCGGCTTTATTAAAGCTGTTCTTAAAAATAAATGTCACTTTTTCGTTACCTCAACTTTTCTTTTGCTTAAAATTTATTTTTCGCGTAGATGCTTATGAAGTTCTTTTAATTTTAGCCTTCGTTTCAATGAAATTAAGGCCGTTTTTTTTTATTTTGTTCTAACCATAAAACTGAATTTTATATGGAAAAAACAACTTAATTTTGCCAAAACGAAGACGAAATTAAGATTTATAATATATTTCTTCAAACTCATTTCACATTGTTATTAAGGTCGTGTGAGAGTTCGAGTAAATATATGGTAAATTGAGGGAAATAATAAATTATGTCGATATGGCGAATGTTGGTATTTACCAGAATTTCGATTAGGACCATGTTATACAGAGTGTCTCGGGCACAGCAAAATTCGCTCTTTCGGGCTATGTCGAAAATGCGTGTTATGCACTGTCATATTAGTATTGCCAATTTTATATTTTTACTATATCTTGGATGTGCTCAAATTTAAAAGGAAATTTAGCTGCTTTCAATTTGCTACCAAAAATAACTAAAAAGAAAAAACTCATAGAGGCAGTAATAATATTAATTTATTATTTTATTACCTTATAATAAACGTTAACAGTACTTACGAGTTTTTTTAATAATAATAATGTAATAATTATATTATTAGTGATTTATAAAATAAGGCTTACTGCAATTTTTTCCAAAACGTATTAGAAATGTAGTAATTTGCTCCTACAAGACATGGCCCTTAGGGTAAATTAGATAAATTAGGTGTTACCATTGTGGAAATTTTATAAATGAATTTGAAAACTTTTAACCAAAAATAATAAATAAATAAATAAATATTTACATAAGTGTAGTGCAAAAAATCCCTAGGAAATTTCAGTATACTTTACCTCAATTTACTTGAAGTCGTACACAGCATAATACGTATGGCAGTTATCATAAATACCGCATCTGGTAGCATATAATTGTCAACTGTTATACATTTTGATGTATAACACTGGTTAAGTGTTATACTTATACTGCTTCCAATTAGAATTATTGTTGGTGCTTTTAGTTTTCAACTTTTCGTGCGATTGTGTGTGGTTACGAACGAGTGCGGCGGATAAATTTGCCGCTTTTGCTGTGTTATTATTTTTGTGTTTCTTGATTTTCGAATTAATTCATTTTTCGCATAATCAGCTGTGAGAAAATAGTATTAGAAAAATATCAAGTTGTGTTAAATGTTATTAAATTTAAATTAATAAATTACCGTGGGTTTATATTGTATGAATCCTTTGTTTACATTTTTGCAATATCGTTGCATATAACAAATTCGATTGTCTTGTTGTTGTTGTTATTGTTATTTTTGCTAGTACGTTGCAATTTAAAAGACTGACAAGCGCATGAAAAGTAGAACATTCCATAATAAATGTAAATAATTGTAGTAGTTATAAAACGGAAATTTAATTAATGCAGGTATGTAAAATTTAGAAAGTAAAAAAATTATTAAAATTCAATCATCAAAAATTAATAATAATTTTTATGCAAACGTCAGCATTAATTTTTTTATTTCGAAGGGTCAAGTTTTTTCCGTCTTTTTTTTTTTTAAATTGTTTTTACATTAAAAATACTGTTGTTGTTGTTGTTGTTTTTTTTTCATTGAGTTCAATATCTGTCAATGGACATGTGAAGTGCGGTTGATGGGTGTATTTAATTAGCCGTGGATGTTTGTGGATATTTACTTTAACCTGTAAATAAAATGTACAATAAAAAGAAGGTTAAAGAATAAAAAAAAATTATTTAAATTATTCAAAAATTGTTTATTAATTGCTTTTGTCGGTTTTATGTACTTCTGCTGAGTGCGTTCCTTTCCACGCAAATGCTTCGCTTCGATGTGCTTGAGTTGTGGTCTTCATAGCAAGAGGAGGGGCGTACATGGAGACTCATTTGAGGGGCCTTTCGGGAGCTAATTCCAATTTCATATAAAAACTTGTAATTGAGAGAAATACATTTAACTAATGTAAAATAAAATTAAATATTTTCTTTGAGGGGATTGTGTTGTGGTTAGTTTCGATCACTTTCCGGTCCCTTTCTATATACCACTGAGTGTGATAATTTGTTAATAAAAGTGTTTTTTTTCTACACTTATTTAATTCGAAGAATTATTATGTTGAGGCTAGTTAAGTCAGTGTACTTGAGCACTTTTACTCTCTATTAACTGCATGGTTTCTTCATAAACTCTACGCTTTGACTGGATTATTATTTATCATTTCATTAGACTAAGCAATAATTGACTTCAGATCTGCATACCTCCCCGAGGAGCCTGTAACCAGGCTCTTGTAAAGCATTTCTTAACATATCGCAAAATGCTGTAGAGAACTTCACTAATTGAACTGGTACACCGTGAGATATTCCCCTATATATCGAGAGAAAGATTATTCACTGTAAAAAATTGTTGTGAACCAAAAATGCTACAGTCATTTTGTTCAAACAAACATATAATTTACCCTACATATACATCGCATGAAAGTTATTGAAAGACAATTGTGTTAATAATAAAACAAATTAACAAAGAATTTATTATTATCACTTTCTTCCGAAATTTCTCTAAACGCTATAATGTTAAGTAACAGAATAGTGCTTAAGAGAGAAACAATATCTATTATAAACTCATACAGTTATTTTTATATAAACTATAGAATTAATAGTATATCTATTATTTATTCTATAGTATATATAAAAATTATAGTACATGGTTATTACAGATATTGTTCCACTCATATTTCTGCTATTTTTCTATATATTCTCTTGTAAATGGAATGACATTTAATGCCTTTCGCCTATAATTGCCTTGTTGGCAATTTTTTGTACAAATGTCTCAATACCTCCAGCTACACTAGGTATGTACTTCAACATGACTTGATAAGTTTTGTTCAGAAAATTCGATTTAATCAGACATAAAGATCCAAAAGCAGCAACTGATACCCATTGTAATAGAAATTTTTTGTTTTTAATACACACAGCCCAAACACTTTCAAGTTTCCCAATGCAGTCATCATAAACAAAAACATATTTCAAGAAAGCAAAATCATCATCAAACACTTTCATATAAGTCCCAGTTGTGATGATTAAGTCTTCATCATTAGAAAAATCTGGTAGCACATAATACATTGCTATACAAAAAGGAGGCCTAACGCACATCACATTCTTCCAAATTCCTTTATTTGTGCCAAAATCGGGCTCCAGATATTTGTTTAATAAAAGCGGTTCACCGTCTTCCATGCGAACTCCATTAACTAAGAAGTTAAAAAATTCATCAAATTTGATATGGTAATAGCCAATTTTGGGTGTATTAAATTTTCTGCTACTCTCAGATTTTAAGATAGCGTCTCTTATGTTCATAACCTCAAAAATAGCAACTGGCATTTTATTAGCCTCTCTCTCCAATAACTCTGTCATGAAATTATCAACTGATTCTTTAAAAAGATGTGGAGTAGAAATTTTAATCCAAAAAAATAATTCAATCACGTCGTTATTAATAAACATCGATAAGTTATGCTCCAAAAGTTCATTACGAAAAATAAAGCTTGGTATGCGCATAATCAAATCCCGTAGACTATCTATATCTATTTCACCAGTTTGTGTAACAAAAGCGTCTGGAACTGTAGTGAGGCATTTGACATAGTTCTCACTTTGAACCGCGGCCACAAAAGCAGAAAATTTCAATTCCAATTGTGTGAAATGATTTTTAAATGAGTCTCGCAATATGAATAACTTATCCTGCATAGTGAGATCGGAAAGCCCACGGACAGCAATTGCAGTAGTGTCCATATTTAAAGTACGAGTAATTGATTTTAGTTTATAAAGCAAATATATGTCAAGAATTTTCCTCTTCTTAAAAATTGAAACGCACCTTTAAAAATATTTACTATAACTAATCTATATAAAAAAAGATTTTAAAATAACTATTGTTGGGAATATTTACTACTTGGATTAAAAAATTTAGTTTTTGATTGCAATGTAATATTCATCGAACTAATTTAAAATCATCGTAATAACCCTATTGCTTATACGCAGGCATCTGTATGCAATCTGGCCACTTTCCACTAAAAGGAAATCCACTATTCTTATTGAGATGCCCCGTAGAGATACCAGTGTTATGGTAGGTTTATTTACAGGTCACAGGGAACCATGCTGAAAGACAAAATATCCCTTTCAATAAAATCTGTCGCAGCTGTGGAAAGGATGATAAAAATACCTCTCATCTGCTTTGTCATTGCCCAGCTCATGCACGGCGGCAACTCAACACTTTAGGAACCTCCTTTTTTGAGGATATGGATCAATTACAAGATAAACCAAACAGCATTTTAAGCCCTATTGCTTCTTCTATGCTCTTTTTATCTATTCAAAACAATAAAATAGACGTAAAACTCTCAATGTTTGTATATACTTTTTCAAAATATTTCAATGTCATATATGTGATTTATATATTATCATTTTAATGAGACCTCAACATAGTTTCAAAATTCTGTATTGAGGGATATTAGCTACAGCAAAACCAGAACTAACATCTTTACTATTTTTTATAATCAATTTTATGCAAATTGCTTAAAACTGTTCGATCTTTTATATCTTACAAATGGCATAATTGCTCAAATGTTTATCTTTAACCTTTAATTTAATTAATATATTTGATGATAGGTCGATCGAGGTGAATCGATATGAGATATGAGAGTTTGTTTTAAATTTCATTTACTTCCATAATAGAAAGTTCTAATAGAAAGGAATTCTTTCATATAAATAGTACACAGACGTACTATAAAGCGTATTCCTTTTCAATCCATTGTAATAAAATTAATTTAGCAAATATTTTTCGATATTTCATTTATTACATTACAATAACGTTCAACTCGAAACACCAATCTCAATAAAAAAAACAGTAACAATTTATTGGACCTTTATAAACTGGAACAGTAACAATTTATTGGACCTTTATTGGACCTTTGATATAAAAAAAAGATTCCAAACCACAACAAAAAGTTTGAAGAAAACCTTCAAATATTTTTTGCCCAATCTAAAATATAATTCTAATATATCTTTATATATATATCATTATCATTTGTATTACATCTCAAGTTCAGATATGATCTATTGTACATTATAATATGTCTCTTTTCAGCATGGGTCTTTAATTATTTTTTGTCTACAAAGAGTGGTTCAGGTATTTTTTAACACCATTTACTCATGGATTTCAAATTTTTCCTTCCAGTTGTTTGATTATCGCTTCATTCTATTTATTAGTATATCGATTCTTTTTTGCATAGATTTCTCTTGTAAAAGTTAGTTGTTGTTGTCGATCTTCAGTGATAAATCTATTTTAAATTTAATTAACTAAAGAAAAGAATATTAATTTTTAAGAATGAACGCATTTTACAAAATTAAAATGATTAATCGTTCAGATACGTTTTTAAATTTGTTGATAGTCGTAAATGTAAAAATATCTTGAACCTAACGTAAATCGCAATATAAACAGAGAAAAGCATTACCAAGTACAGCTGTACCGAGAATTATCTTATCTTCTTGAACGGTGTACGCCAAAATGCAGTACAATTCACACGAATACAAGAACATTTAAGATAGTAAACAAATCAATATCGTGCTTACGTGCAGATACTTTTTCGACATTATTTACAAAACTTTATAGATAATCGAGCAATTAAGGAAATAAAAATGAAACTATATTTCCTTTTGTAAATAAAAGAAAAAAAATTATAACAATTATATTATTTTTAATACCTCATAAATAATTTTATTTATTTACTTTGATGTAAGCTAAACAAAAAAAAATTGAAACAAAACACAAAGATACTTAGACATACTTTCAGTCACAGATACGTCACTTAAATGACTTCAGTCGGGGAATTGAAATTAAAAGCCACTTTGCACATTTGTATTCATGTATGAGGAAAAAAACGCTGACTTGTCCTGCAAAACAACTTTCACTTAATCGCACTTCATTCGCCTTTGAGTTGTTTAGTTTTTGTTTGACTGTTAGAGCTTGAAGTGCTCTTCAATGCCTTACAGTGGGTTTGCGAACTCCTAAAGTCAAATATTTAAATTGCACTTTAGTTTTTTTAAAATTTTTTCAAAAAAATTTCATATTAAAAAATTTTAATACCTCTAATACTGAAACTGTCATAGTTAATCTAAGTCTCAACCTGTACTACATCGGTATATTTAATTTTTTTATCCTACTAAAGATAAAGATAATTTTTTATCAGTTTATATTTATTGTTTACGAAATAATCGTTTTTGTTAGAAATTATCAACAAAAATTTGGTTAACTTTACGTATAGACCTATATCTATAACTATTAAAAAGATTCAATTCTGTAATAACTTAAATTTTTCTGTAACACAATTTTACTAGTTATTAGTTCAGATATTCGTATACAAACACAAGACGATTTAAGAATG